AGAAACAAAAATTAATGAAAGTATTCCATGCGTTCAGTTATAATGGTTACTGAACTAATCTAAATATAATTTAATATGATATTTGCTATTGACCAGCAATGAAAACTAACTAATCCTTGCATCTTTATCCACTATCTGAAATAATGAGATATTGCCAGGGTACCTATTTCAGTATCGAAATAGACAATGCGGCATTGAGAACAACTTAGCAATTTTATCCATGGAATCAAATACAGAAGTTTCTACGCCAAGTTGTTATATAATATAGTTTCTGGATTCAATATACAATTTAATGGCAAACAATACACGCTTACACATCTCATAATTTGTGTAAAAGAAAAAAGTAGTGCTATACATGCATTTTTTTATATTTTTTTTTAAGTCTTATGCAAAACTGGGTCGTGGTAAACAGAGTACGGTCAAAAATTAATGCTCCCTTGTAGAAATGGGTTTTAAAAGATAGAGTTGTTAACAATTTGTATATAGAAGAAATGATTTCCTCCACAACGTTTACACTCAAATATGGTAATAGAAGTAATACATGTTTCAACGAAAAAGATTTTATAATATTTTTTAAAATATCTGACAATCATATAGATGTGTATATTTTTCTTAATATTTTAACGTCAAATGAAAAAGTTAATCCCAAACAACACAACCTTTTTATAGAATCGTAACATGTATCTTTGAAAAAAACAAACATGCAGCGTTTGAATGTTCATATTTACTTTACATGCCGAATCTCTTGTGTTTTACTATAATGTTTCACTTTGCCGAGGGAACGATACACCATTGTGTTTCCATTTACAAAGCATTTTCTCTATTGTTTTGTGTTATAGTTTTATTTTGCTATTTAAAATGAAACTTGATAAATGGTGGATTTGTTTTAAGAGCACTTGCATGAGCCGTCACTCCGTGACAAAGATCATGTGCACTGTTTGTCTAACTCTCACAGGGTCGATGACGTTAAATAGAAAGCGTAAATCCTGTGTAAGGCTGTGCAAACAGCGGAAATTTGATATATTGTGAGTCACGTTGTGTTCTTCTGAGATGTTACGTATTTCTTTTCTATTAATTTCTTTTAAACATATGTTAAAGAATAAAAAAAGTGTGTTATATAGTCCCATGTCCATCATTGCAACCAAACCAATGACATTAACATAGATACTATTAAATGAGACAAATCATGTGGTCTTATGTATTGTATGTGATTATTCTAGAAAATGATCAATGCACTGATATGTTTTAACACCTTTGTTTGTGATATGTTATAATACTTTTGTTATTGCTATATGTTATAACGGTTCATTGCAATTCACTGATATATATTTTAAAAACACATCAACGTGTGTCGTTTTGTGAAGACACATACTACTGATTGGATGGTTGGATGATATCTTTTCCCCGCATGACCCATTGTGATAAAGACATCTACAATTTAGTTCACGCCCTCCATGCGTCACTACATCGAATATACCGTGACATCAGCAGTTGATATAAAATATATCTCAATATAACATCTACTTCTTGGTGTGCTGCCATGTCGAACACGATTTAACACTCACAAAAACATTGTTTTTATTATATATATATATATATATATATATATATATATATATATATATATATATATATATGTATTTTTTTTACACGTTGATATTTTTTCTTTTTTTTTTTTTTTTATATATATATATATATATATATATATATATATATATATATATATATATATATATACCTGTATTTATTACACGCGGAGATTGTTGCCCTATTTTCTTTTTCTATCTATATATATCGTAATTATTATTATTATTATGCTGTATTAAATAGTTATTTGCATCATTAAAAAAAAACAGTTCAACATTTCTTCAACTTAAAAGACAGTTGTGCCTGCTTCACTTTCTCTTTTGCCAAAGTATATTTAAAACCTTTCGACGTTTTATTGGTTTTTTTTTCAATCGCTTTTGTTGTATAGTCTACTTTTTTTAAGGAGTGTAAAGAATGTTAAATACAAATGCCAAAATAAAATACTACATAATTCTTTTGAGTCTATTTTTCTAATCATTGATTTTTTTCCCGTAAAAATTATATATTTTAAAAAACACAAAGAAAAAGCAACTAAAACATGTCCACGAAAATTTTAAAAGTTTATGAAATATCTGCAAATTTAAAAAAAAAAAAAATATCGCCCCTCGCAACCATCCTGACTGTTTCAATTTTTAAATGTTTCAATTTTTAAATGTTTCAATTTTTAAATGTTTCAATTTTTAAATGTTTCAATTTTTAAATGTTTCAATTTTTAAATGTTTCAATTTTTAAATGTTTCAATTTTTAAATGTTTCAATTTTTAAATGTTTCAATTTTTAAATATTTCAATTTTTAAATGTTTCAATTTTTAAATGTTTCAATTATTAAATGTTTCAATTTTTAAATGTTTCAATTTTTAAATGTTTCAATTTTTAAATGTTTCAATTTTTAAATGTTTCAATTTTTAAATGTTTCAATTTTTAAATGTTTAAATTTCTAAATGTTTCAATTTTTAAATGTTTTAATTTTTAAATGTTTCAATTTTTAAATGTTTCAATTTTTAAATGTTTAAATTTCTAAATTTTTCAATTTTTAAATATTTTAATTTTTAAATGTTTCAATTTTTAAATGTTTCAATTTTTAAATTTTTAAATTTTTAAATGTTTCAATTTTTAAATGTTTAAATTTCTAAATGTTTCAATTTTTAAATGTTTCAATTTTTAAATGTTTCAATTTTTAAATGTTTCAATTTCTAAATGTTTTAATTTTTAAATGTTTCAATTTTTAAATGTTTAAATTTTTAAATGTTTAAATTTTTAAATGTTTCAATTTTGAAATGTTTCAATTTCTAAATGTTTCAATTTTTAAATGTTTCAATTTTTAAATGTTTCAATTTTTTTTCGTTGTTGTAAAAGAAGAACACACCTTTACAACCCCGTAGTATGGAGAACTACCAGCGCTAAGACAATACAACTAAGGATAGCATTATGGGGGACAGAAATGTATTTAAAATGTTATAGATTACACCGCTGGCTTGTTTTCTTTTCATTCCGTTTGGTGAAGTAACTACATTTCTTCGTTGAACTGCACGACGTAGGAAATTGAGCGATGCTTTTGTGTTTGAAAGAGCAAAACACATCTTTAATTATTTATCTTTTTTCTTAGTCCGCTATTTTAACCCTACATTTTTTAAATAAGTATTGTTATAAATTAGTCACGTGCTCACAGACACTCGCTACTAGTTGTCAGCCGACTCAATAAGCTTAACATTTCATGTCACATATTCTATTTCATTTCAGTTGTTGTTTTTTTTCCGATAAGAAGCACACAGTGATATATTACATTTAATAATTGCATGATTTTTTTAAACTGATTAAATTTGTTGTTTTAAACACACGCAAAATTATAAATATAGGCCTAACTCAAATAATTTTAATGATTTTTAAATTGTAAATTCATTTAATATCTAACATATAATAATCTGTATAGTATATAATGTGTTACGCTATGGAGCTATCATATCTGGTTATATGATAACTTTCTTCTAGATGCAATATTAAATAACAATCTTTTAAATATTAATAATTTGTTTTATATTCATGCATATTCTTTTTTATTTTCTTAGAAATTAAAATTATTTTGATTTTTTTTTTTTTTTTTTTTTTCTTTTTTTTTTTTTTTTTTTTTTTTTTTTTTTTTTAGAAATTAAAATTTTTTTTATTTTTTTTTTTTTTTTTCCCATTTTTTTTTTCGCTTATGTGATATTCTTCCTTACTCTGGATAAATAAATAATAAACTATCTTGCTGACTTGAAGCTGTCCAATGGCTACGTGTAACATCTTCAGACTAATATATATCCCCGTTATCGTGTTCCTTTGTGCTTACGGTTAGTAGAAACTACTTTAATTTAATATCTTATCATTATAAAATCAGTTTATTATTAGAAATTATTATGCCTCATATTTCAACATTAAAATTATTGAATTAACACACGCTCACACTCACAAATATATATTAATGATATATATATATATATATATATATATATACATGCATAGTAATTGCTTGACGCGAAATTTTAATTAAATATTGGAAATTTTATTTCAAATACAACAAGTTATCTACTACTATTGGATAAACCGGGACATTTATTTAAAGGTAAAACGTGAACACCAAAAAAAAAAAACTTTGTCTTTTAATAAGAATATGATTATTAACGAGATAAATATAATCGACTCATTGTATATTAAATTTATTTTCATTACACTTATATCAATTAAAATGAGGCTTACTTCTTGGCGTAAATTATAATAAACTTGGGTCACCTATATATTATACTTATACATTTTGTATTTTTTAAACTTACTTTTTTTTTTACAGATTTATAAATGTTAGAAAAATATATACAATTGCAGTTTTTTTCGGCTTGAATAAATGTAAAATTTAGAACACTACAGTATATTCCTATGTTTATTGATAAATTATTGAGATGTGAAATCGTTATAATATATTAATTTAATGATTTAAATTGCTTTATTTTTTTTAATATGATAAAACGTATTATTTATTTTAAGAAAGCAAATTTAAGTTTATTTGTTAAATTCGTGGATTAATTCTAGTCACACGAAATGAATTTTTTTTTTTTAAAAAAGGAAAAAAAGAAGAAATTCCTCTTGAACATTGAGCCATACGCATGTAATAAACAAAACGCATTCAACCATCACCAATTTTTATTTGCCGGGTTTAAAATTGGCTCTTAGAATTTTATTTGTTGTTGTTTAATTTGAAATATTAATTTATATTTGTTTATAGATATTATTTTTGCGGTGAAAGATTTTTGTGTGTAATGTGAGTGTAAATATACTTTCTATTCAATTATCACATGATTGTAAATGTCGTCTGCACTTGTGTCTGTCTAGCTGTAACAGAGCAAAGATTAAACAGCCAGCTCAAAATGAGGAAAGATATTGGGAGGAATATGGAAATGATACCCATTGGAGTCACTCTATACAGTATCAACAAACTCCACTGTGCAAGATCATGTAACGAATACAGCAACTGTTATAGTTTTAACTTTAACATGCGGACCAATATTTGTACTTTAGGTAATATATAGTAATATATATATATATACTTAAATACATATTAATATATACTATATATAAAATTTCAATTAAATAATACAGTAGAACACGGCTACGTCGACGGCCTCGTGGTTTGCCAATAAGCGTCGAGATAACCGATGATCGAGATAACCGAAAACCAATATTGCGGCAATATATTAACGTATGCTTAAACATTTCTTTATGTACATGATGTGCGTAAATAAATGTAAGTACTTCCGTAAAAAAAGATATATACATTTTTTAATATACAGTTATTTAGAGCACATTTTGAATTTAAAAAGAATAAACTTTTTTAACTTAACGACTTTTTGAGCTAGAAATTTTTGAAGTTCCAGTTCATTGGCTATTTTCTACTATGGACAAAGCCACCACATGTTGTGCCCTCAGTCAGCTGATCGTTTTTTGCAAAATGACAATATAGTTTATCTTAGGTGACGCCTCCCTTTATTACTAAAATACTATTTAGGGACAACTTATATTGAACTTTCAACTTTGGCACATGATTATTTAATTAAACTTTTCCCTGAACAATGGTTCAATAGTTTTTGCACACGGCAAACTCTTATGAATGAAACTCTGACGTAGTACCATGGCATAGCCATTATGCCAGTGACCGTGAATGGCTGCCCATGACAACGTTTTGCACACGGTAAATTAATTAACATTCATAATATGGACTCTACCGGGTTTTAAAATCTCGAATTAAAATATATTTATTTAAATTACTTCTAGGTTCATTCTAAAACACAAGTCCTGTATTTTTAGGAATAAATAATTATTTTTTAATATATTTGCTATTTCTTCTTGTGGAGTTCAAAATCTGGCGATGGGTCATGGGGCTCGAGATAACCAAGGTTAAGTGGCATAATTTGGCCGCCTTTTGTTCTCGAGATATAAGGGTTTGGCGACATAAAAGAATCAACATAACCAAGGAGAAAATGCTAAGACGAAGAGAGAATTTAGAGGTTCCCCTTAAAAAACGTCGAAATAGCATGCTTGGGGAGTGAACCGAGGTCGAGATAAGCGGGTTCTACTGTACATAGAAAAAGCTTGCATTACAATAAGAATTCCATGCTATTCGAATCGATGTCCAACGAAGTTATACTCATAGACTTTGTGTAGTTCTTAAAAACAGATAAAGCAGAATGTGCAATGTCTAGGCTTTTATTATAAATAGCCGTAAACTCCAGCCACTATTCAGAGACAGTCAATGTAAAGATATTCACTTTTAGCATCCCCTTCTGGATTACAATTATTCAATACTTATTAGTTTGAAGCTAAAATGTTTGGGGTTTTTTAATGGCAACATTTGTAAAAGAATTGTTTTTAAGTTTAATTACAAAAAAAAAAAATTAAAACAAATATTTTTTTTAAAAAATCTGTTTCACGTTGTTTTCTTTAACAAACGCTAAGAAAAACAACATAAAAAGAATAACCATTCAAAGCGTTACCCGTGTCGCGTCCCTTTCATTACAAACTCTAAACTTTTTAGATAAAATCTGAAAAGAATAAGAAAAAAACTCAGTCCCCGATAGCAATGAAGCCATTAGAACATTTTTTTCATCATGTTTTCCTACTTGTAAGTAATACAAATATGTGTTATTAAATTCAAGTTGTAAAATTTAGGTTAATATAATTTTGTTTAAACTAAAAAAAAAACTGTTTACCGCTGGTAGAAATGTGTGCATGTTACCAAAGCAATTATTTATGTCTTGATCAGCTGAACATTTTCAATGATCATTTTCGTTTTTTTATGAGATGCAATAAATATACTTTCCCATCTTTTGTTGTATTAAAATATTTAATTTTCTACCTGAAATTTTAAAATCATATCTAAATAACTTCAATTTTTAAAATGTTTACAAAAAACGATCACACAGGGTCATGGCTACTCAATAACACACCAACTTTGGACCCAGATGACACCATTTACACCCAAGGGGCTGTCTGTGATGAATGGCAGCAATTTAGATTCATGTCCTATCACAATGTCAGCACCTGTATTTGGATTTCTGAAAAAAAAAATGATTACCCTAATTCCCAGAAGGCATGTCAAGGTAAAACAAAATAAAAGATATGACGCATCGGTTGAATTTCAAATCTTACAGAATAATAAAGGCATTATCTTATTCTACATCTTTTATTTACTAAGGATCCACGAACACTGTCTTTAGAAAATCTGTCATTTAGAAAAAAAGGGCTTTTATAATACGATAATTATATATAAAATATACATTTTTAAAAATAGTTTTATTCATAAAGAGAAACATGAACAAGTACATCATATAAAAATTAAAGAAGCAATTGTTGGCACATAACCTCAATGGGCTTTGAAATGACAAAATAAAAGAGATTTAAAAATATTTCATTTTTTTATTTGAATTCAAATGTAATTTATTCAAATCAGTTGGCCAACAAAAATGTGTAATTTCTTCAGTAGATTCTATGATCTTGGAAAACTTCTGAAGTTTTGTATCCCTAGGTCTCATTCTTGTTTTCGTGTTCAAAACTTTACACCATTCAAAATCAATAAATGTTGGAACAAAATATGTTTAGGCTGGAGAAAGAAAGGACAGGACCATGGTTCAAGCCTAAAAATATCTTGTTCAACTATTTATTTCTAGAGATGTCATAAATGCAGTACCTCGTACTTTATCATTTCAAAGCAACTACATTTTTTTAAAATGATATAGCCAATTGTTTTATAACATGGTTGCTAAAATAGTAGAATATTTTAGCATTGAAAAGAGAGATTACTTATCAAGATTTAAAGCAATAAATTACTTGCAGTTTATAATGATTTAAATGTCATTCAAATTAAATAAATGTTTGAAATTTGGGAAAATAACAAATAGTATAAGTGGTTATTATTATATTTTTTTAAAAATATCTATTATTTACCTATAAAAGCAGATGGTAAAATATTTAAAACTTGTTTGTTTTTTTTTGTTTGTTTTTTTTGTTTTTTTTTAAATTCAAAATAAATTGAAGAATGTTTGTTATGATTTACTTTGATCTCTTCCTCTACAAATATAATAGAAAGAGGCAAAGCCGTTTAAGAAGACTTTTCATTATTCATATTTTTAATGTTAGATCATTGTTAAGATCACACGGCATATGTTTGAATCGTACGATGTTTTCAATTATCTTTCAGAGATGAATTCCCATTTGTACACTTTAAAGGTCATCAAAAAACTGTCCATGATGATGGACGCCATAAAAGTAAAGCACCCGGCCTCTGAAACCTCCCAAATGTCGTTCTGGGTCGGACTAAATAATGTAGAGACTGAAGACGTGTACAGATGGGACGATGACGGCACCACGTTTGATATGGACAGCTCGTACAAAGAACAGCTTTTTTACCCAGGTGATAGCTACTGGTAGTTGTATGTTACGTTTCTGTGGGTTCTTTTTTTTCCTTCTTAAAATGAAAAAAAAAACGCGTGAAGTTTTTTTTTAAAAATAAAAATCTAATATCAATTTAAAAGCAAAAACCATTTATACTAAAAGAAACAAATTCCCTTCCGAAAAGTATCTTGGTGGTCTAGAGTTTTAACGTTAAACAAACAAAATTGATAATGGATATTTACTTTAATCTTTAATCTGCTTTGTTCCCCTGAGAAGGCTTCTGGCCGATCCATTTGCTATCAGGGTGCGTCTCCTTTCATTATACAAAGAGTTTTTATCATCTAGCAAAATATTTACATTTTTAAAAATTCGATATCTATTGAATTTCTCAAAGTTATACATGTGTTTAAAAAATGTATCATCCAGGTTTAATCTTTAAAGCTTAATCGTGTTAATTACCACCACGTTGTTCCGTATATTTTGTTGATTCGTTTTCAGGTCAGCCCAATGCTCCTCAAACAGAACAGTGCATCATGTACAGTAGCATTTATTGGCACCCCCTCAATGACTACTTTTGTGATCGTGTCCACTATTTTGTATGCGAAAAAAGGCCGTATTTTCAGGTCAGCTAATAAAAGAGCTTAGGGCACATCGCATTAAGGAGAAGCGTTAAGAGGATACGTTTTCCCTTGTAAGGTATCATTACGTATTAAGCACTGTATGCCCACTGCAGGATACAATATTGTAATTTAGTGCTTTTTAACATATAATATATCGAATATAATTTGCTTTTATTATACATCATCATCAGCTCACTAATTTCCTATTTATTGTCGTCCTTAAATGTCTGTAAACAACTTGACTTCTGCATCATCGTCTTTTAATAAAATAAACAATAATCTTTTTTCATCAAACTTCAATCAGCTAATATTTACAAATAGATCATTTCACATCTATCTATTTGGGTAGTGTAAGAGATCAAAACTATTTAAATAACTTATAAAATTATGCACGCATAGCGAACAGCAGTAGGCAAGCTGCCCAATAAATATTCTTTTTACTGAAGTATTTTTTATGGTTTATCATTATTTGTTAAGAACGTTAGAAACGAATGTGTCATTAAAAATATTCGATTTCTTTTGGTCAAGACTTATTCTTGCTACATGGAATGTCTATTCTGCTATATTATTCGGTGATGAGAAACACAGAACTATATAGCACAGAAGGAAGTGGAGAACCTGAAGAAAGTCATGACCACACAGCGGACTTTTCGACCGGATAACGTCCACAGCAATGTGAGAACAGCGAATAAAGATAAACGAAGAATACCACGCAACAAAGACATAGAATCAAAACCAACTTTTTACTGTGATACGCTAATATTATAGCGCTATGAGGATAGCATCTTCAAATGCATACCTTTTTTAAACGCATGCAGCCTATGTGGGGCGAATAATGCGATATCTATGAGTAGGTCTGCCTACGTACGCCACATAAAATAATATATGGGTCTAGAACTATGTCTTATGTCTCCCGGCCCGTGCACGACTAATATGTAGTATAGAGTCAAATGATCACGAGGCAGCTAGAAGTCCAGATGCCTTTATTTATTAATACACTAAGTGAAACAGAGTCCACGAAATGCCTAACAAGTAGTTACTGGCGTTCAAAATAAAAGTATCTTAGTCTTTGAAGATTATCCTACGAAATATAATAAGATGTAAAAAGTAGTTATCAAACATGTGCTGTCCAAATAAATAAGGCTTTGAATTACTTTGAGACGGTATTATTTCACCTCTATCAGCGTTAACATCATAGTCACAGATAACATCATAATCACAGATAACATCATAATCACAGATAACATCATAGTCACAGATAACACCATAGTCACAGATAACATCATAATCACAGATAACATCATAGTCACAGATAACATCATAGTAACAGATAACATCATAATCACAGATAACATCATAGTCACAGATAACATCATAGTAACAGATAACATCATAGTCACAGATAACATCATAGTCACAGATAACATCATAGTCACAGATAACATCATAGTCACAGATAACATCATTGTCACAGATAACATCATAGTCACAGATAACATCATAATCACAGATAACATCATAGTCACAGATAACATCATAGTAACAGATAACATCATAGTCACAGATAAATTCATAGTCACAGATAAATTCATAGTCACAGATAACATCATAGTCACAGATAACATCATAGTCACAGTTAATATCATCAATGCAAAGAAAAAATATATATTCAATATCAGGAATAGTATGTTAAAAAATCAATTATTGTGATGTTGATGTTACAGTCTTTGCCTTTGATCTGCACATTCGCCTTCAATCTTGTTCACACGAGTTGTATGTCTCCGCAGCAAGATAAATACTACATTTTAATATTTTTGAATATTGACATCAATGCTTGACAATGCCCCCTCCCCCCCCCCCACCACGACCACATCCGCAATTTAAATTATCTGAAAACACTCTCACATAATTATTGTGATGTTGATGTTTCAGTCTTTGCCCTTGATCTGCACATTCGCCTTCAATCTTGTTCACACGAGTTGTATGTCTCCGCAGCAAGATAAATACTACATTTTAATATTTTTTAATATTTACATCAATGCTTGACAATGCCCCCCCCCCCCCCCCCCACCACGACCACATCCGCAATTTAAATTATCTGAAAACACTCTCACAAAATTTTTTTTAAAAAGTTTCATTTTACATTGTTTTGATAAATTTTGTAATTAAACAAAATAATAACGGTTTAAATTATTATTATTTCGTTTTCGTTAACGAAGGATTATCTCAAGTATTCCCTGTAAAATATAGTGACAAGTTGTGGAGATCCCGATACGATATTATCATAATACCTATTGCATGTTTAGACAATGTATAGCCATTTAAAAAAATACAATATTGCAAATAAAAAAACAATATTCTTTAGATTGAGCTTAGTCATATTTTTGTATTATTTAAAATTGTGTACAGTCATAGGATTTCGTTTTTTAACACCACGTTACATATCAAATAATATATATATATATATATATATATATATATATATATATATATATATTTTAAATATATATAAATATATATAAAATAAAAAAAAATTTTAAATATTTATTACTTCCGTGTACATGTCCTCTATTTTTTTTTTTTTTTAACACAACATTACATATAAAAAAATATATATATATATATATATATATATATATATATATATATATATATTTTAAATTGATAGAAACATACTTGAAATTGAAAAGCATTTTACAACTTTATTACTTCCGTGTCCATGGCCGCTATTTTTTTTTTACAAATATCTTGTTTCTAAACTATTTGAAGAACCTACCTGTGAAAGTACTTCAGCCAGATTTTTTGTCAAAAGTGAACCAAACATCTTCTGGCCAACATCTTATTGAACTGAATTTTTTTTTCTCCAAGGGAGACAATTCAACAATTTGCCATTTTTCGACAGTCTGTTTGGCTTTTCAAAGTTGTGTAACTCTTACTGTACATCTTGTGATGTTTAGCAGTTGTGTTTTTGTGCAATTTTTTTTTTTTAAATGCTCACAGACACATCGGTAGGTTTTTTTTTTTTTAAAGAGAACTAAGAGCGTTATGCTACACAAAGGTTGATACTGAAATTATCTTAAAACTTGTGTTAATTAAAGTTTTTATATTAAAAAATACCATTACAATGTTTCATAAACAATAAACAGTGTCAGCTACTTTCTAATACATGTATGTTCCATTGGAATGTATGGTGATTTAGGTTTGACTCAATTTGCATCAACGTATTTTAAATATGATCTATTCAAACTCTGAACCGAAAATTACTTTTCTTACTTCATGAACATTTGATTGAGTGCATGAATGAAATCAAACCTAAAATCAGCACTGCGGTTGGAAAGACTGCACGGCGTCTCCCTTGGAATGTACATTCAGGTGAACATTTCACTTGGTCCTCGCGTCAAGTGAACCTTTTTTTACATTTAAAACGGTATAATAATAAGGGAATTAAAGATAAACCTACAGAAAACTGGTTCGTGAACTATGAGCGCTTAGATTTAAAAACGCTTAGCAGATTCATTTAGCTAACCTTTAGTGCCGCATGAATAGTTTCTCACCGTATCTATTAATTTGTATTTAATTCAGGCAAAAAAATTATGTTTAAAAAAAAAAAAGACTAATTTTTTATTTTTTTTTTTGAACCCCCGCCATCTGTTCCCCTTTATTTGTGTGTGTGTGTGTGTGTCCCGTTTGTTGAAATACTCGCCATTTCAGAATATCAGGGGGAGTAACCCTCTCAACCCTAGTTTAATTTATTACAATAAAGTTTGCTTTCCTAAAAGGTTTTTAAATATTCTGACGAATTTTTTTTTTTGGTTGGGGGTGGAGTGAGGCCGGGAGGGGTGAGTGGAGGTATATTACCGCTTAAGCTCCCCTCCGAAACATAACACCAGCCTGGTGCCTTTTCAAAATACCTCACATCCCCTTAAAAAAGTTCATCTATTCATAAAAATGTGCACTCTTCAATAATAATAAAATGTTTAATGTCTTGTCTCTATAAAAAAATTGTGTTCTGTCTTTGTGTGAATCTTTAATGAGCTGCAATATTTTTCTTGTTTTCCCTGTTTGTTTCCCTTGAGAAGGCTTTTTGCTGAAACTGAATTGTGCTCGGTATTATTCCGAGCTTTACAATTGTCTATTAATTCCTAATATATAAATTCACCGACGCTTGGTCAAGTTTACCTTCAAAATTTGTATTATTACTTCACGGCAATTGGATTTAAAAATATTGATATTTTGTAAATGCATGTTTTAATCAACTAGAAATTTGATCTTGCAAAGTAAGTACCATTTCGTATCTTAATTTTTACAGAAACTCTGTTGTTAAAGAAAAATGTAAGTATTTTTTTGTTGTTTAACTTTCAGGTTAGCCCAATGGTCCCCATAACAGAAAAGTGCATACTATACAGTAGCAACAAGTTGACTCTAGTGACTGACTATGACTGTGGTAAAATTTTGTTGTTCTTTATAAACGAGGAGAGGCCATTTTTCAGAAACAACTAACAATGCTTGTTAAATGAAAACCTGTTCCAGGGAATACTTGTTAAAGTCAACGTTTGTTAAAGGCAATAATTTTTAAAGGCAACGTTTTTTTAAAAACAGCGCTTGTTAAAGGCAAGACATGTTAAAAGGAACGCTTAAGTTAAGGCAATGCTTGTTAAAGGCAACACTTGTTAGAGGAAATTAGTTGTTATTCGTGTCTTCATCCTGCTGCCATGCACCAATTGCTTAATAGTAAAATAATAACCTGAAGTCAAATCCCATTTACACAGCTTATAATGTTATTTAGGGCAAAATTGGTTTCAAGCAGTTACTTTCAGATTTCGATTTTTCATATCATTATTGAACACTTCATAGGTTTATCTTAATGGCTAATGGCAAATGAGTTGTATTGATCATTTCACAGCCCACTCATTGTTACAGTTCTGTATGTCATTGTCCCACTGGTGAATGTAACTGTATAAATCATTGTTGGTTGTGTCATCTCTTACTGAAAGATACAAAACAATCGGAGTATTCAAGTAGGGTAAGAGTAGTAATTTTGTCTAAGAAAACACATGCATGTTTTATTTTTGTTTTGGTTTATACATCATCATGATACAGTAATATTACTTGTTGCTTGCGCAATAAAACTATTATGGGAATATGTATTTATAATCGAAAAAAAAAACAAGTTTTTAAGACACGTGATATAATTTAATTTTTAAAAAAGCAAAGTAACGGATAAAATATATTAAAAAAATATAATTTTTATCTTAGCGATAGAATTATTATAGAATTTATTTTTAAAAAAAGAAATATTACCAATTTGCTAAAACACCTTCTTGAAGCTGAATTAAAATTTGTTGTTTTGTTTTTTGGCTTTTTTTTAAATTATAAAGCGTAGTAACAACAATCAAGTGTTTAAAAATGTTGGTGTTTATTATTTTTTGTCATAAAAAAAGTGGTTACAATATTTAATGAAAGTGTCTTTTCTGTCCTTAGCTCTTTAAATTACACATCTTATCAGCTCTAGCGTCATTTCTACCATCTCTCTATGGAACATACTCTACCTCCTCTCAACCTCTCCTACCCGTTCCATATGCATATCTCTCGTCCCCTCATCTCTATTTTACCTATCTCCTCTAAATGTCTCAATCGATCTCTCTTGATAGTAAGAAAATCTCACATTTCTAAACATTGCAAGCACATACTCGGCAAATAATTCGATGAATGTAGGAATTGAGAAATCTAGGATAATCAAACTAATGGAAGCGAATAATAAATATCGATTCTCATTAAATACGACATTGTGTCGAAAGAATGTGTTTTCCATTAAAGCTTTTAACGCAACTACTCCATATGCAAGCAGCAAGACTGAAACTAACGTGACCAATCTGTCAGTACTTGCTTCTTTATTTTAGTACGAAGCAGATCGATGCGACACAGTTCTATAGCCCATTGTGTTGTGAACGCAAAAAAAGGTGTCTGATAAATTGCATTTAAAAAATGATTCATTCATGTTTATGTATAGGCCAATGTCCTGTTCTCGGGCACCTCGGTGCACGTTCGATATAGGTGCTTAACTAATGATCAACAAGGAAAAAATTCAGCTGAGCAAATTTGATTTATTAATGGCTTTACAATTTTTATAAATTTTATGAGCTTAAATTTTTTAATTTTTTTTTTTAAATGTCATCTTGAGTCCCTTTTTTAAACTCAATGAGTCATTTTTTTTATGGGTGAATCATAACTTTTATTAGAAGTAACGTTAATAAAGTGCAAAATGTACAAAACAATATTATACACAATTTGATTTATTTTCTTTTATTCTTTGTTTTCCTATGCAATTGAAATATATATGCGGTAGTGTGCCTTTCACTTTTTATTTATTTTGGGGGGTTGGGGGGGGGGCACTAATTGGGAATCTTGTTAAGTGCTTTACTTGTATGCAAATGATGTCAAATTGTCAGCATCACCTCTTTTGTCCCATATTGCATTTTATAAAGAATTTATACGATGTTTTAGGACTTGTTAAATTTACGATGGTTTGGTGTTTTTTTTTTTTGGTTTTTTTAACTTTCGAATGGTATTGTCAAAAACTTTATCATCATTACAATGAAAAAAATGAAGCGCTTAAAACAGAGATCTCCTCAATTATTTTTATAAAGAATTTATACGATGTTTTAGGACTTGTTAAATTTACGATGGTTTGGTGTTTTTTTTTTTGGTTTTTTTAACTTTCGAATGGTATTGTCAAAAACTTTATCATCATTACAATGAAAAAAATGAAGCGCTTAAAACAGAGATCTCCTCAATTATTTTGAGATACGGTGCAAGAACTGTTTCTCGTATTTCCGATTTGTAAAGATTTCTACCAAGAGCATAGCGAAAAAGGAACATTTGAAATGTACACAGATCCTCTGTCAGTAAAGGCGTGGCTCCTTGGAGGCCTCATCATAGGCGTGGCTCCTGGGAGGCCTCATCATACAGTACAGCGGCGTTTCCCAAAAATTTAGTTTTTCGTGATCCGGTAGCGTATTTTTCCTTATATCAGTTACGAGTTAATTTTGCTTTCTGGCCCTGTACGGGGTCGCAACACGGCATCTGGGAAAAGCTAGCCTACAGCTTCAGATTAGTGATGAGGCTCATTTACTTTATTAAGATTAACTTCTATCATTTGATAATACACCATGCAATTGTAACTGTAAATGTAATTATGTTTAGTGTATAAGTATTTTTTTATCAATATTTTCACAAGAATATTTAGGTGTTTCAAAAGCATTTAAGATTTTTATTTTAAATTACAATACCATATTCTTTTAAAAAATAAGAATAAAATAAGAAGTTCAAAACGCGTTATTTATAAAAATACTTTAAAATATGGAGCACAAACATCAATATTTAAAAAAAAAAAATGCTTTTAACGAAACCGTTATTTTAAATGCATTTCATCGTTAGATTCTTTTCACAGACAAACATCAATGATGCATTGCAGAAGTAGTCATGGAGTGGGTAATACCTTGTTGTATCAAAGGACATACACGATTCTGTTTCCGGTGCGCTGGGCTGACCTAAATAAATAAAATGAACAATTCTAAGTTACACAAAAAAACAACCAAAAAAAACAAATTAAAATATAATATATTTTGATGTAACTTGATTTACTTCCATGTCAATTTCGATAAGATTTGCTCTTCCCATATGTAAAGATAACTCTTACCGGCATGAAACAGCACCGACTTGTAAGCACTGCTCGTGTTGAATTCAGTGCTGTCGTCCTCCCATATGTATGAGTCATTTTTTTGCATGTTGTTCAGTCCTATCCAAGACCAAATGCCATTATTTGAAGACGGCATCAGTGTCTTGAACGTTTCATTGAGTATGTCGATCTTTTCGCTGATCTTCATTGTGTACAGTGTTGAGTTGTAATCTGTCAGTGTGTAAACGTGTGAACAGAAGGAAAAGTAATTTTTGTTGAGAATAGGACATTGTTTTTTTTGTTTTTTTAAGTCGTTAAATAAAGTTTAAGAAGCAAAATTTATTATGTTTTTAAATACTCAAGTGCAGATAGTATTATGATATGGATGAGTACACTTTGTTAAGAAAAAAATCACATATTGATGTGCCCAGCTAATGTGGTGATCTCTAACGAAAATTGTTCTTAAAAAGCGTGTATTTAGAGTCGTAATCTACAGTTGTGTTAAAATAGTTAGAAATTATCCAGAAGTCAAAGTAAAGTTTTTAATTTACTTATCATTATCACTGCTTACTTGGATAATTGAAAATGTAATTTTTAAAAAAAATATATATTTTGCCAATTTAAATCAGCTGAAACAGATTAAGTAATTTTTTTTTTTTTTTTAAATTACAATGAATTAATCCAAATTTACCTAGACAAAATTTCCTTGCATCTGTGTAGTTTCGTTTTGTACAGGATATCCACAAACAAGAGCTGACATTTCCTTTAAAATAAAGCTTGAAGTCCACGTACTGTTTGCATGGTGAATCTTGGTAAAGTAGTTCAGTGTCGGGCTCTCTTGGTGACATGGAATTATACATCCACGAACCTGCAAAATAATTGTAAATGCTCAATAGATTTAATTTATTTTTAAAGTATGATTTTTCTAAGATAAAATCACATTAAAATAATATCCAGCAGGTCAAAAGTAAAAAAAAATACACAAAAACAACCCAAAAAAAACAAAAAAAAACCAATACGTATGAACTGTGATTTATATACGCAAGGAGCCTAAATGGAATGGTTTTGAACGGCTGTTCATAACATTTTATACTTCCGTATAGGGTGATTGCATTGTCGACATTAATAGCATTAATGTACATTCTAAAAGGTGTGTTGTGCAACGAGGACCGTAAGCACAAAGTTAGCCTGTCGGTAACCCCCAGCAACCATAAGGAATTATCGGGCGCAAGAAAACTGTTGCGGTCAGTATTCTGCACTGGCTTGAATATTACTGATAGCTAGAAACCCAAGTTTAGCCCTACAAACTAATACAAAGACGTTTCAAAAACATTAAGAAAAAAATTTGTGTAAAGAGATAACAAAAGAAATTGTTATTTCAATGTTGAAAATCACATCAAATGTAAAATCACATGATCATAAAACATGGCGCTTAATTTACACACACACACATATATATATATATATATATATAGAGAGAGAGAGAGAGAGATGTACATGCCACCGAAGGTGTGCTGTCTTATTTATTTGTATAGTCACTCCTGTAGAAACCTTTTTTTTTTGTATTTCTACTATTTAAATTGCCCTTGTGTTTGTGGGTGTGTATGTGTGGTTGAGGGTCGGGGGTTGACCGACCAGGGTATGAGAATCACTGTTGTTATCTGTAGATCACTATTGTTATGTTTGGAATTTGAAAAGATGTTTAGTTTAGAGATTTCATGACGGTGCAGCCGTATCTATTAAGTGTGATTGTTGAGACGTATTTGGGTAAAGGGAAATGACGCGTTAGTTTAGTGGCCGATAGATTGGTGAGATTCACGGCGTGGCTTGTTGTTTTTTTGTGTGTTCAGGATTTCGGCTGGATATATCATTTAGGGGGGACGTTGATTTGTATACGAATTTGATTGTTAGTGTACACTGTTCCGTCAGGTTTTGACGATGCATCATAAACTTATAGCGTTATAAATTATATCAAGATATTCAGTGTTTGCTGTGTTGATGTCGGTTGCACTGGTCCGTGGTGAAGAAGTGAGAGACTAGGATGTCCCACGGGTGGGCGTCTGGCTTCGAAGGGTTTGATGAGCACAAGACTCTAATATCTACATTTCGTCATTGAAGAGATCATAAAACATCAATAGAATTGTTCTAGGTAAGTTCAATATCTTTGAAGAGCCTGGCCAAGATCAGCTTGAATACTGGTATTTATTTTTTTATTTTTTTTTTAATTTTTGATTTTTATAAAAATAATTTTAGTTTAGATAAAATAAGTCAAACATATACGAGGTACGTTATAATTATTAAATGAGCATTGATGACTGAAGGATATAATTTGCCAATTTCATTTAACCTTTCAGGCAATGTCCGAGCTAGATATCGCATTATTCTAAATCAAAAGTATTCATTTTTACTAAGTGCGAGTTAGATACCATACTATACTTAAACCAAAGTAATGTTTCTGCACAGCACGAGTTAGGCATTCTACTATACTAAAACCAAAGTAATATTTATGACAATTTTTGCGCTTCAGATATGCTACTATACGAAATCGAAAGTATGATTGACAATTTGTTGGACTTAGATATCCTACTGCACTAAATTCAAAGTAATATTCACGACACTGTGTTAATCAGATATCCTGCTATATTAAATCTGAATTTTCCTTTTTACTAAGTGTTCGTTAGATAACCTGCTATACTACATCCAAGTTACTAACTTCACTACCTAAATGAGCGACTGTCTTACCCATGGTGCACAGTTTTGTTCTTGTGTTATAATTAAAACTGTAACAGGCGGCATCACTTCTGAAACACCTTGCTGCACAGCCCACCGTACTGAAGACGGGTGCAGCTGTTTCTGTAGGTATCAGCCTTACGTAAGGGTCAGTGACCTCATTCATGGCGTAAACCATTTGGCTGGCATACATTTCTACAAAGAAAAAAATCGTATTTGTTGTAAAAAAATGGATTTCAGTGAAGAATGTAGGAAAACAATTTCTTTAACATACATAAGGTTAAAGCATGAGCGGAATATGCGTTACTAGTTATTATGTCAAAATTTATTTTTTACATATAACATCCGAACATTTTTGGAAAACTTGTTGAAGCTAGAGACATGGACACAGGTAGTATGTGTTTTCTTCGAAAGTATGGTAAATATGTGTATAGTTTTTTTTACGCCTTTCCAAATTTAAATTTCGGAGAGGAGGTCGAAGTAAAGTGAACTACATTTTGTTGAGGATGCCAATATCACACAGAAAAAAACACGCTCATATCTTACAAACGTGGTAAGAAATTCATTCATGTAAATGTATGTATCGCTTTTACTATAAATGTGAACAATGTGTTGCATCGTTGTTTTTTTCCATCGAATCTACAGCAATGACATAACAGAAATGTTTGAATGTTAATTTCTACGAGGTGACCTATAGCTTTAGAATAATTTTTAATTTCAGACGTTATTAAGAATAAATAAATACATTTGAAAAAAAAAGACAATGTCCAAGAATAGAGATCAGCATAGTTTGTTGTTGTTGGGGACATTGTGTGCATTTTCTCAAGTCCCGATGATATTAAAGACTAAAAAATGAATTAAAAGCAAATTACCGTAAATGCCAACAGCTAGGAAAGTCAAAATAAACATAAAAATTGAACGGTTATCTTCCATTATAAATGAAATAATACAGCACATCTATGGTTAATTTGGTTTCAAAGTCTCATTTCTGGGTAAGTTGTTAACCCCATTGTAAGGAATAACTGATAAAATCTAATGGAGATCTACTCGTGGTAATATTTGTTGAATCAGGCCGCTCAATGTTCACACCAATGCCTTGGACACGCCCATACACAATCGTAGCCAATCTACTTGCTCGACACATTAAATCAGGTGCTTTGATATATTGGAGATTGTGATTTGCTAATCTATTTTAGACAATCTGTAATTTCTCTATCTCTCTCTCTCTGTCTGTATATTTATAAATAAATAAATATATATATATATATACATGGGTGCCCGCAGAAAACTTTATAGGGGGGCGGCAAACAAAAAATCAATAAACTTTCCAGGGGGGGGGCAAACATTTGTTTAGTAATGTTTTAATATAGTTTTAATTTACTGTAGCGTATTTGTATGGTGAACGAACGGACAGGACATCAGCTTAGTTACTTTCTCTTTATTTTCTCTTCACTTTAATAAATTTTTTGTCTATTTTTTTCTAAAAAAAATGTATCCAATCAATCCAGGGGGGGGGGGAAGTGCCCTTCCTTGCCCCTCCCTGCGGGCGCCCATGTATATATTCATCAGCTTAGTTACTTTCTCTTTATTTTCTCTTCACTTTAATAAATTTTTTGTCTATTTTTTTCTAAAAAAAATGTATCCAATCAATCCAGAGGGGGGGGGGGAAGTGCCCTTCCTTGCCCCTACCTGCGGGCGCCCATGTATATATATATCTTTAAGTTATCCAAATTGCTGGTATCGTATGAGTTTCATAAGATTTAATAAAGTATATAAGAAATTATGTAGGAGATCTGCTCTGAGCATAGTTTAATGAGCCGAACACTTAATTTGCCTGGTCCCGAGGCCTTAGCTGCGTCCACTTGTTTAAATTACATCACTCCCTGTTTGGTGAACAAGAAAGTACCATAATATGTGCATATAGAACGAATTGTCATTATTTAGGCGTAAGGCGTATTTGGGATCCTTTGTTTAATAAACGAGGAGGTCGAAAATAGAATTAAATAGTAGGACTAGGTTTTGTGTTATCGACTTTTTGGGTTTGCTGAGAAGGTACGGGCATGTGGTTTTAGAGATTTCTTTCGGAGTTCTTGTTGAGGTGTAGGTGGAAAACAAAAATTATTAGAGACATTAATATTCTTCCTCCGCCTAAAATCTATGTTGACTGAGTTAATTTTCGAAATGTAATGTATGTTTATTTATGAAATGTCCTCTATTTTTGTCCATCAAATCAATCGGTGTCATCAAACTTATCTGAAATCTACAATATTTTTTTAATAAAAAACAAGAGTCAAATTTATAACATAAGGCATGTCACATTCACGTCACAAATATAACGTGTATAGAAGGGAAATAAGGTCAAGAGAAATAATTCATGATAACTTTTTTTAAATTAAATTATTTCCCCTAATTACGTCTTAATTCTTATTTTAAAATTAATTAATGAATTAAATACATATCTTAAAAAATAAATGACACTTTTTCTCTCATTTATTCCAGGATGATAAATGATTAGTCTACGTTCAAGTTGTAAAGGAAAGAGAAGAACAAATTGTATTGAGGCTTCAGCATGATCTCGTTCTTCTATTTCATCTTTTTTAAAGGCATCTTGCTATTATACATTATAAGCAATTATTTGTTAAATGTATCTGTCCTGTCATCACCAATGACTTTCACCAAAAGGCGATAGAAAGTAAGTATGTCAAATTTTAAGAGAATGAACATTTAATAAACTAGAAGCGATTTTAAAAGTTCCAATATTGACTTAAACAAAAAACTTGACAGATTGACACAAATTGTAACTTGCCTCTCTTTGCCTGCTCTTTAAATAGTAAATAGATTTAAATGAAATTCTAGAAAAAAAATTAAAGAGCAAATGTAAGAAAAGTAAATTTTAAAAGTTTTGCTGAAAGATTTTATAACTGTATTTATTTATAACTGTAATTCCTTGAATGTATTAATAAATGTGTATCTATTTTCGTATTTAAAGACGACCATATCAAGAAGGTTAAACATTTTTAAAAAAAATATTAATAATACATTCATAGCATATCCAGTGACAATCAATATGCAACTCACCAATTTGCAAGAAATTTACAAGGAAAATGTATATTCAATAATACTCTTTAGAAGATCTTCGCTTACATGTATAGTGCGGCAGAAGAGATCACATATTACAACATTATTGGTTGTTGAAAAGTTGCTCATGTGCATTGATATCTGCAGACATGTCCTTTCATTTTGGAGAATACGTACAAACCAAGAACTTTACCATTTGTACAAAGAACCACCCATAGTCACAATGATAAAAAAGGCAGACTACGCTGGGCAGGTCATGTTGAAAGGATGCCGGAATGCAGAGCAGCCAAAGTTATATAATGGCAGAAGCCTAGGGGCAGACGACTCACCGGTCGTTCAAGGATGAGGTGGATTGATGATGTGGAGACAGATTTACACCAGTGGGGGATTGGAGCATGGAGACAGAAAGCCATAAATCGCTCCGAGTGGAAGGATGTGGTGGAGCAGGCCAGGGCCCTACATGGGCTGTAGTGCCACTGATGATGATGATGATGTACTTTAATTTTTTTTAATACATTTTTTATATTTCTTACATTAATTTGGATTTAAGTTATCAAAGAACAATTTTTTTCAATAAAAGTGAAGTAAATTTAAAAGGGCAATCTCTCTTTAAAATCTTTTGATTCGCATCTTTTCTGTTAGATATATTTTGCTTCTGGTGGGTCCTGCTTCATCTTCGAAGCCGGCCTCCCCCAACTTCATGTTTTATATTAATAATTGCATTGAGTGAGAAAAAGTCTATCATGTGTAATGTATGAACTGTGGTAAAATATATTTATGCCTAAGAGACTATTATATTAATCAGTAAAGAGCCACGGTTATTGTATGGACTGTATATAGGCTCTTGTACGAAGACAGGCACAAGGAGTGTATTACTGCATGTAGGAATATTTTATGAAGAACAGGCAGGTAGCGTGTACCACTATGTGTAGGCTGTCACTGTCATATATCATTATAAATAATACTCGAGGCGATAAGGTTCAAATAGTGACTGATATTAACCAATTAACTGCCAATTTTGTTTTCCGAATATTTTTTTTACTTATTGTTAACAAAGAAATCATGTGTTTTGGATCACATCACCAGAATTTTTTTCCAAAATTTCAAATTTTTAGGGTATCCCCAGATAGGTATCACGGCTGTCTATTTGGCATACTGGAAAGCACGTCGTGGAGTCCAACATTATATTTACTTCACGGTTTCGTTGTCTTACACACTGCGCACAACAGGTGTCATACATTTTAATAGTTTTATTGACATTAATTGTCCGATACAAAACATAGTTATTTAAGTACTTAATTTTAAAAGGTTAGTATAAACAAGGAACTCTGTGTTTTTTGAAAAACGCAAGTTTACAAAACTTGGTTTGTCAATAAAACTATTATGGGAAATTAATTCATATTCGAAAAATAACCAAGTTCTTAAACTCTAGATATAATTTGCTTTAGAAAAAAAAAAAAAAAAGTTACCTCAAAACGAGCTATTACAAAAAAAAAATAAAAAACCTAGAAACAGAATTATAACAAAAAAATATTTTTGTATATTATGTCAATTTAACTTAAACTTTTGGAAAATTAATTCAAATTCGAAAAAAAACCAAGTTCTTAAACTCTAAATAAAATTTGCTTTAAAAAAAAAAAAAAAAAGTTACCTCAAAACGAGCTATTACAAAAAAAAAATGTAAAACCTAGAGACAGAATTATAACAAAAAAATATTTTTGTATATTATGTCAATTGAACTTGAACTTTTATCAACAAGTTGTGTGCTTTTGAATTTTAAATAAAGTGTAATAACAGCAATCACGTATTTTAAAGGTGTCGTGTGCTTTTTGTCATAATAAATTGGCTACAATATTCTTCATTAAATGTTATTTGAGCAACCTTCATTGATGTCTTTTCTGTCCTGAAATCCTTAAATGACAAAGTGGTTTATCTTATGGGCTCTAGTTTCATGTCTACCATAAATCGAACAGACTATCCCTCCACTCACTCTCTGCTGCTCTTTCAATATATCTACGTTGCTTCCCATCTCTTTTGTTTCCCCTTTAAAGACTCAATCGATCTCTCTAGATTGTAAGAAAATCTCACATTTCTAAGCATCGCAAGCACAGACTTAGCAAATATTTCGTTGAATGTAATGTTTGGTAAAATCGAGAATATTTATACAAAAGGAAACAAATAGGAAGTATCGATTCTCATTAAATACGACATGGTGTCAGAAAAAAAAATGTTTGCCATTACAGCTTGTAACTCAACTACCTTATGTGCAAACAGAACACATGAAAGTAAGAAGTAAAGCCGTATGTCAAGTGACAAACTTGATAATACTGGATTCTTTGTTCTTGGTACGAGGTAGTTCGATGCGAGAGAGTACAATAAAATGTAACAAATACTATCACTTTTTGTATTGTGAACGCCAAAATGTGTATGATACATTGCATATCAAAATGATACACTAAAAAAAGAAAGTAAAATGTACTAGTATGTGTATATGTCCTGTTCTGGGTCACCTTAGTCCACGTTCAACATTGTTTGCTCACCCAGTGGTTAAGAAGTAATACATTTACTTGAAAAATGTGAATTATTAATGGCTTCACACATTTTTGTAAACTGTCTTTATTTTATATTAATGTAATCTTGAGTCAGTTTTTATATTCGGTGATGATTTTATTTAGGTAAGAAGCACATATTTGATATATTTAAGAATAACATATGGTTATCAATACGTAAGACGAACTGAAAACGTTAAATAAGAAAGCATATTTTAACTCTTTTATATTCAAGTTCTTTATCTTTAACGATGTGTAAAAATTTTGAATGATATTTAAAAAACAAATAAATTGACATCCTCATTTCAATTAAATTACGAAGTGCTTACAACAAACATTTCCCAAAAAATTTCTAGACTCAGCATGCTTTCAAAAAAGATTTCCAAATTATTGGG